CGATATAAGCAAGAACATGATCATTTACGGATATAATTAGATCATATTGAACGTATTTCTGAAATTTTTTTAATAATAAATAAATTATATCCTCCTATTACTTCCGCATAATTATATATATTTTAGAATTATAATCTTGGTTAAAGCAGAGAATAGTAGAAATACAGAGTTTAAACTTTAACCAAAAACGCATCAAACTGTTGTTTGCTAGATACATTTTTTATTTAAATCACGAGGTAATAAGTTTTTTAATTTTAGTTGATAACTATATTAAATAAGTATTTAACATGATCTAATTATATCCATAACACTGTTTTTCTACTGTTCTCTTTAACCAAGGTTATAATTTTAAAATATATAATTATGATAGGTATATTTTTGTAATATACTAAATATCTTTATAATATATACCTTTCTCTTTATCGTTCCTTCTTCTCTTCTCTTTCTTTCTCTCTTCTAATCCTAAATTTTTCTATCTTTCTACCCTTATCTTTCTATCGTCTCCTCACTTTTTCTGTAACAAATCTTTCCACTTTTCCTTACTTTCTTCTTTATATCTTCTTTAATTTTGTTTTCTATAAAAAGTATATTAATTATTGCAGTTAAACGTGATTCAAAAAAGATAATTATGAAGGAGAAGGGCTTTCTCACTGATTTGACTAAAACTCCACAATTTTAGTAAAACATGAATCTGTAAGTTAAAATTGTCGCTTTCAATTAGGAAAAAAGTTATTAAGTACTAAAATTGATAGCTGCGTGGTTAGAATGTCTGTCATACTAACATAATGTAGACGCACGTGTTCATGCGTAGTGACGTAAAAGTGCGTAAAATTATAGTAATAATACAGTATAACAGCAACCTGCCCTATAATAGACTGGCGCCTTACTTTAATTATGTGCTATTATTTGACTTTGTATTTATTATACTTTGTATTTATATAGACTTTTCAATATACCAATTATTTTCTGCTTTTTAAAAAATGCATAAACTCAATTTCTATTATCTTTTTTCACTATAGTTAAAAAAGATAATAGAAATAGACTTTATGCTTTTTTTAAAGCAGAAAATAATTGGTATATTAAGAGCCTGTATAAATACAAAGTCAAATAATAGCACACAATTAAAATAAGGTGCCAGACTATTATGAGAAGTTGCTGTTATACTGCACTATTACTTCCATGCACTTTTACGTCACTACGGATGATCTTGTGCATCTACATCATATCAGTATAACAGACATCCTAACCACGCAACAATCAATTTCAGTATTTAATAACGTTTTTCCTAAAATTGAGAGCGTCAGTTTTTACTTACAGATATATGTTTTACGCACCAAAATATACAAAATTGTAAAGTTTCACCCAAATCGGAAAGGAAGACCCTCTCCTTCATAATTACCTTAAAAAATAATTATGTTAATGTTATATATAATATTCCCAAACAATAATTTAATTACAATTATATTGCAATCTTACCTTGTTAAAAACTTCATTACCAAAGAGTTCGCCATACTCCAAAGTAAAGTCTCAATGTAACAGAATTCAAAAAGTTAGTATCTAAATAAAAAGAATCGTGTATGCGCTCAATCACGAGAAAATCTATTATTATCTGCCAGTCTTCAAATATCTGCAGAATAAATCCTCTGATGACTGACAATGAATGAAATATAAAAATTCGAGGTAAAGTTTGCATTAAAAATATAAACTGGTTTGTCCACCACTTCCAAAAACTTTACTATTATAATTTTTATTATAATATATTTAGATTAAATATTAATTAATCTTTTTAGAATCTAATCTTTTTTGTGTGTGAGAAGAACATATTAATTTAATTATTTTTTTTAATGTTACAGATCACTGAATACGAATATAAAATTTACCAAAATTTATTTTGTTGTTATTGCTTTCGTGAATAATTAATATTTCCAGACACCAAGATATAAAATTAACGTCTATCATAATATAATAGACTGGAATCAATTAATATTTTAACTTGCCTACAGATCACTTCCTCGTTCTCTTCAACTTTTACAAGACAACAATTTACAAGATGCATGCGTATGCAATTTTGGATGCACCGTCCTTCTTAAAGATCTTCTCGGTATCAGCTTCTTCCAGTTAATCTGCAATATTATATGATATATTAATAATCTCACTCACACACACACACACACACACAATCTGTCACGTACTACGTTTACGTTTACGTTTTATAATAAGTGTTTCCTTTCCGATAGCATAAGCAAAATTAATTTTAGGAAATCTAAATTATTTTATTTTTTTCTGAAGGTAGAATAAAAAACAAAACTAAAAATCAAGTTCTTTTCAAATAATAGACAACTTGAATTAATTATAATTATAATGTTTATAAGAACAATTTTATATTACTATTAAAAGGTATGTTTATAGCACTGATTACACTTACATTTCCTGGTTAGCGCTTATTATGGCACGTTGTTTTTTCCAAATTTTACTTCCAAAACATAGAAAATACCTTCCAGCCCGTGACATCACGTATACGCCAACAAACCTGCACAGTATCGTTTTCAGAATGCATTGTGATCTTTAGGATGTCATCAAGCTTGCAAACTTCATATGACTAATGAACCTTAATAGTATCAATTGCCGTAGTCGATATGGATTTTGACATATGTA